ACCCAACCAACCTCGTGCCAGATGTGGAGGGGCAGCCTGAGCCAGCGGCACCTGTGTCACTGCAGCAGCAGGTGCCTGATGATCTCCTGGAGCTGCTCATCATGGGCAGCAGTCCGGACCGTGATGCTGTCCTGAAAGAGCAGGGCAGTGCTGCCCTTGCTGGCAAGGTAGGGCCTGGTGGGAAATGTAAATGCTGGCATCTGGATGAAGAGCAGGTCTCATAAAGGATGTTGTTAAACACATCTATAACTGACAAAGAGCACTTTTTTTAATTATTCATTCTTTCTTGAACGTATTTTGGATAGAAGCAGCTGACTGTTTTATGTTCCTGTTAGAATTTCAGTCACAGAATTTCGGAATTGTAGAAATACTTGGATTGACTAGAATGTCAAATTCTTAAACAAACTACCAAAACGCTAAAAAGCAAATTAATGGGTATAATGTATTTTATTTTAATTTATTTTATTTTTACTGAATATACACAAGTGTTCCTTTGAAATCTACCAGGTCATTCTGCTGCTGAACTTGGTGGTGGATTCTGGCCATAGTGCACAAAATGCTTTTGGAATGGCACCTGGGATTAATGTTAACCACAAATGTGTGAAGAGCAGTTAACTTGCCTTGAGAATCCCTGTTCAGTTCAAAAAATCAGATTTGATCAAAGTGAAAATCTGCTGGAAGGAAATGTGTTTCTCTAAATGATTTTAATTAACAGGCCTCTTTCTTGACTTCATCTAATCTTTGTTTCGGAAATTATTTACAGATACTTTATGTTCACATTATCTTGCTGACTTTGAGTTTTATTGCTTATGCATGATTAAGGCAAATTTATTAAATGCAAATGAGAATAAGTAGAAAGCATATTATGTTGCTCATCTGAACTTTAATGGTAGGATGATGTAGACCATCAGGATGGATAGAAGGTCAAAACAAAGCGTAATTTTCTTGTATTAGCAAGTGTGTGTGGATGTGAGATCTGTGCTACAATAAAGATTTAATGAGAAATCAGAGATGACTGAGAGCTTAAAACCTTCATGCTCCTGTGAGCTTTCTGCTTAGGAATTGTGATGTTTCTATGAGCAGTAACTTAAAGTACTAGAATATTTACTCTTGTTCTCTCTCAATTTTTTGTATTTTACTTAAAGCATTTTGAGTTGATGGAGAGGCAGGAATTTTGCCTTGACTTTTATTTCCAAAATGAAAAATACATTTTGGGGGGATAGTAGCTGGTGGTGTGTTTTCTTAAAGATATTAATTATTGAGGCAAATTAATTTTAAATATTCTTTATTTGCCTGAATATTTAATATTATTTCTTAATATGGTTTTCTTTATTACTGAGGAAGAATTTGACATGGATTACATTTGAGGTAGGTGTAAGAACAAGCTTTTTTCCATGTACTCAGGGCTTACAAGTAGGCTGAGACTTGAAACTCGTGTGTAAGTATCCCAGAATTTGTTGGTGTATTAAGTAAAAATCTGAGGTTCTGCACTGAATAATGAAAGCTGTTCACTCTTAGTTCATAAGATGGCTCTGGTCTCTTTTATTCCTGTCAGGTGGAATCTGCTGGACAGATGGAACCCAATTTATGCCCAGGGAAGGAGATCTGCAGTGACATTGAAGGCATAATTCAGCTAGACGGAGCTGGCGATTTTTCTCCCAAGGAAGAACCAGCACATAAAAAAGATATGGAAGAGAATGAATTCATTGGCTTTATTGAATCAGAGGATCTAAAAGTTCTGGAGGATGAGGATGAAGAGGAGGATGAGGAAGGGGACAGCCTTTCAAACACAGAGTCAAGCAGCAGTAGCAGTGATAATGAAGAACCTCAGATAGATGTAGTTGAGGAGGTAATTTGCTTTAAGCCCCTTGAAACAAGTTGCAGTTGTTCTGGGTTTTACAACTGGGTATTTGAGATAAACATCTCTGATGTATTTTGCCCAGAGAACCCATAGCTGAGCTACATACCCTGGAGCCAGGCAATACTACTGAGGAATTATTTGAGAACTCATTGAGACATGTGAACAAAAAAAAGATGTTGAGAATCTTTTGTTTATTAGATGGATTAAAACACTTAATTGCCAGAATTGAAGCCCTATGGGTGAAGTCTTGACTTCAATAGAATGGAGTTTTATTATTTAAGGTTGGGATAGAAATCAAGCTTTCTCGGGGATTGTTTGGAGAAGAGAACAATGTTTCATAAGTGTATTTGTTTCCAAGGAAAGGCTCCTCTGAAAGACATGGGGCTCTGTCCTTGGAATCACAAGAGAGTCTGTCTGTAGAATCCTCCCTGGATAAGCAGCAGCTGATCAGTAGTCTAAGTACTGCAAACATCTTTGCCTTAACTAAGAGGCTAACTTAGCTCTGGCCTGTGTCACTTGGGCTTTAGGTGCTTTTCTTCTTCAAAAGATGAGCATGTAAAGATGCAATGTAAGCTTCAGAGTTTGTACGTCTCATGCATTTTCTTTTGTGTAATGTGTGTGTGGGGGGTAGCCTTTACTGTTGTATTTGCATTTAATGCCGTGCATACTCTACATTAATGTGAAAGAATGTTAAAAAACACTACTTAAATAGACTTTCATTATCTAGGACCCCCTAAATTCTGGTGATGATGTCAGTGAACAGGACACGCCTGACTTGTTTGACACGGATAATGTGATAGTTTGTCAGTATGACAAGGTACAGTATATAAATTTTTGTCTTTGTTCCGTAATCATTTTAAATAATGTCTTCAGCAGATTTGTGTCAGTGCCTTTTAAAGAAAATGAAGTGCTTTAATTATTGAGGATTTAGATTGTTTAGCTGACAGTAATCAGAAGACTTGCTTGCTGCCCTCTGAAACAAGGATAAGTAAAGGGCATGTAATAGGCAGAAGAGGCCTGAATCTTGAAAAATAAAAACTTGCAATTCAGCAAATGCTTAAACACATGCTTAACTGAAGTGATAGGAGCTCCTCCATGGATATATGCGTTTTCAACTAAGAATTAAGACCATTGAAATGGGTAATAGGAAAGAAGTGTGCCATCTTTATATTGGATGTCTTTAAAGTACTTTCTGAGAAGATTTTATTATTATTATCAGAAATCTGGATTTTTCTGAAAAGCAAAACGCTTAGGATGGGCCTTTTGTCCTTCTTATGTAAATCTTTGTAGTTCAGCTTTATTTTGAACTACTGCTGAACAATTAAGTTTTTTTAAAAACTTTGGTATTTTTCTGGATACTTGTATGTAAAGTATAAAAGCTGATAAAACAAAGTGCATACCTTATATTGAAACTAAATATGGAAAACTGTCTGATAGTGTGTGAAGTGACTTTTAAATGTTTTCAGAGGTAACCAGGGGTTGTTTTGGTGTGTTCAACTAGGGGTCTGTATTCTAGGAAAACTGGTCTTTGTAAAAGTGTAATAGAGATTTTTCTGAAAATAGCTGTTTTGAAAATTGTAGTTATAACTACAGTTATATGTATGTAGTTAAATGTGTAGAAAATGCAGCTGAAATTGAGCCACAGCGTTGATCTGCACTGTGTCGACAAAGTGCTGGTGGTACCATAAGTTTTCAAACTTAATTTATTTAGATGTTATGAATGTGATAGGTAGTTGATGATGATGTTATCTATAACAAGTCGCTTTTGTGATTAAAATAAAAAATTAAACATTTAAAAATTGATACTGAGTTCAAGACCAGAACTGCCTTTAATGCCAGATGTTATAAACTGGCAGTTGTGCACTATTTTATTTGATTTTCATTGTATACATCAAAGCAAGAAAAAAGTTATTGGTTATTTATTTCTTGCACAGACTTATTAAAACATTTAAGTCTGTTTTTTTTGTTTTTTTTAAAAAAAAAGGGGGGGAGAGGGGATGTGAACAATTATTTTTTTAAAAAAAGGGGGGGGAGGGGATGTGAACAATTAAAAATCTACATTATCTTACTGCCTATGAAAGGGTGCTACAGGTAAAATGACTGTTCTTCCCCTAAAAATTCATCCTGCAGTGTAGATATTTCGCAGGCCCCTTAAGAAATGGAACAGGAAAATTCTTTCCTACTGCTTTGTATGAGAGTATTTGCTCTGAGTAGTGCCTTGATGGGCTTTGCCTTAACCCAGTGAGCTGTGCAAGCAGTATTGCCCTGCTGTATGTGTGGGAAGTGGAAACCACTGCATTTCAGCTGAGCTTCACTTGTTTGCAGGTGCAGTGTGTGTTGGGATGGATGCAATAATCAAATTGCTCTGTTACTCTCTTGTTATCCTTCTAGTTTTGGCACTTTAGACTGCTGCCTTTAACCAGCTTTTGGGGGCTGAGGGTTGGAGGGTGTTTTATATAGTTCCCAGTTTTGAAAGGGAGACAAGAGAACTTGAATATGACAAGATAAAGATTAATGAAGCAGTTCACTTGAAAAGGCAGGAAATTCATGATAAGCAACTGAAATTTGCTACCACAGTTTGTGATCTATTAAGAGCAACCCTGCTTAACATGTTAGGGGCTAACAGAATGTTAAAATAAAACCAAGGTGTGTAGAGTAAGTTGTGCTTAGCAACCGGTATGTTTTTATGCATGGTCTAATGTATGCTTTGGGTTTGGGGGGGTATTGATTTAATTCTTTTATCAGATACATCGAAGTAAGAACAAGTGGAAGTTTTACTTAAAAGATGGAGTGATGTGCTTTGGGGGTAAAGACTATGTTTTTGCAAAAGCTATTGGAGATGCAGAGTGGTGAAACTTCACTGAAATAGGTACTGTAATGAGTGTGGATTTACTCCCTTATGAACATTCTGTGAAACAGCTAAACACTCCTGTTTTGCTATTCTTTAAAGAAATAACAAACTTTAACTTGTTAAACAAAATGTGTAAAAGCTGTGCAGTTAATAATGCAAATTAAAACCCTGTATTGTTAGCTATTCAGCTGTCTTTGCTGCTCTTTTCTGATTATTTCATTCCTTTTTCCCCTAAGAAGCATGATTGAAATGAACAGCTTTAATGATTCTAATACTGAGTTTATTAATAACTTAAGAAAAAGCTGTGGAATACTAGCTGACAATACCTAAGTAAATTCCAGCTACTTTGGTTCTCTTTAAATTTTTAAGCAAGTGAAAAATATGACTTGCAGTATAAAACAGTTTAATTCTCGGTGATTTTTCTGTTGGGGTGGAAAAAAGCTAACACTTGTGCAAGTTTGAGACCTGTGGCGTTTCAACTATGTGATTTTTTTTTTTTATTTTTATTTCCTCCTTTTCCCTTTCTGCTTTCTTTTTCTGTTGTTGTTTGCTTGCTTCAGGGCCAAGGCAAGCACTTTAGATGTAAGTCGGGAAATGTGGGTGGAAGACCTTGAGCTATCAAAATATGAGAATTACTTTTTTTTTTTTTAACCTCAGTGTCTACTGAGATGCAATTAGTGTGCTTTAACATTAAAATGTGGTTTACTGTCATTGTCAATGCAAGTCCTTTATCCCTCCTTTACATATCAGCTACCTTCTATGGCTGCAGACCTGGAAGCTGTGGATGATGCGAACTCTGCCTAATAAAGTGTCCCTTGGTGCATTTCGGCTTGTGGGCTGTCTTTGTGTGCCTGAAATGTTGAGGCAGCTCCTCAGCACTCTGAGGGGAAGCTCTGAAGTGCTCCTGCTGTTGGTGTGCTGAGCAGCAGGAGCTGTGGTGCCACAGGGGATATGGGAACCCGCGGGCTGCCATCACAGGGGACCATTCGCTAAGTGCCATTAGGGCCTGGAATGGTGCTCCTTAGAGTATGACTTCTGAGTCAAGGCAAAGAGATCCCATTATTAAAATGCAAGTTCTGTTCAATTACTGTAGCCTGTGTCAGATTAGAGTGTTTTTGATCTCAACTGTTTGCTGTGTTAATGTCTTTGCTTGCCACAGTTCAGCAATACTCCTCCCCGCAGATGCGATAGGATATATGTAGCTCCAGTTAGGGCCACTGGTGATGCCTCAGTGAATTGCTGTCTAAAACCTCACAACACAAAGAAGGAAAGTTTCCCCAAAATAATGAGATGGAAAAAGAGCTGTAACTTGTATGAGAAGCTTAGTGTGAATCTAAATATTTAATAAAACCTCCCTCTTATTTACTTGCTCATTTTTGTGCATGGCAATACTTTATAGCTCTCATTTATAAAAAAAAAAGAAAACGGCGCTGGTTTCATCAATAGAAGAGATCACTCAATTTACAGCCAGGTACAAAATGGAAAATCCTCACAGCTCTAATACTTTTTTGCTGTTGCATGTACATCCCTTTCACCAGATCAGTTACAGAGCTGTACTGCCTCTATTTCCAAGTCCTTTCTTCAGCACAGAGGTTTCTAATAATGTTAGGTGGAAAGAAAGGCTGTGCCTGCCAAGTGCTTGTCCCCTGGACCTATAATGCAGGTAAAGGGGGCAGTATCTGCTCCAGACATTGTTTTGGCCTGTCCCAAAATGCGTGTAGGATTCTTCCTTGTGCCATCTAAAGAAATAGTCTCTGACATCATTTGAGACTCAGGACAGAAAAGCCTACAGCCTTGTTTCCTATTTTTACAGTGTCTTTAGTTCCTTTTATAGTTAAATAGCCTCAAGTAACTTAGTTTTAAACACTGGTTTTGGCTGTCTCCTTTGCTGCTTGGCACTACCTCATCCTCCAGGTGTGCAGGAACCGCTTGTGAGCAGGGCTTTTATACTGTCTGGGATTGTGACATTGAGCCAGGAGTCAGAGACGTTATTTCTAATTAATGCAATTACAAGCTAATGATAAACCAGACACTAGTACAAAGAATTGCTTCGGTTAATGTGAAACTTAAAATGTAATGTTGTGTCTTGGCAGCCAGAGGAGTGCTTTAGAACACAAGTTTTTACTCCATTTCTGTTAGAGACTTTAAAGTGAAAGACTCCCTTGGGAAAGAAAAATACAAAGTTTAAAGTGACTGCAGTAAATGGCACTTTCTTCTTGTGTGTCACATTTTCACTGGCCATCAGGAGCTGAAGTAATCACAAACTCTTAACATGGCTTTATTTCTACCCTGACTGCAGGGAAAGGAGGTGTCCTATGAGCTGAGGATCTGGCCTGGGCCTCTTCAGGACTCTGGGATATCCTATATGGAATGAGATCTAAGAAGATCAAAAGTTAGAAGCCCAAATGCAAAGCGTTTGCTTTAGACTCTGTGAAACAAAAGTGGCTGAGCATAGGTCTCAAACCAGCATATTTTTTGACAGATACTGTAAGCAGTCCAGTGTACTTCCTCTTTGAGGCAATGTAACCAGTCAAGAACAAGCAACCCAAGTGACAGCTTGTTCTGCAGCTTGTAGCTATTGCATCCATTTTTTCATCTATGTGACTGTGAACTTTTGTTGAGGATCCAATAACTAAGGCCTTCATGCTCAGAATATCATGCCAGGGCAGAACGTGGCCTCCTCTGAGCGTGACCGGGACAGATCTCCTGCATAGTGGAAGCACAGACAGCTTTCACGGCATTCCATGAAATCTGAAGCTTGTCACTCCTGAGATTCACGTAAGAACTTACAGGTCTAATCTCCAACTTCTGCGTGGTGCATTGTTAGCTTATGGCAAGTGAATTGCTTGAGAGTGGCAGCCTATTTGCTGTGAGCAGAGTAAATATGTTGTATAGCAGGGAATGTTCAGTTTTGACTGAAATTAGGAGTGCAGCCACAAATCTGGATCTCCTTAGCATCAAACAGAGCATAGTGAAAGAAAAGATAGATTTCTATGGGAAAACAGTTGTTGAGAAGTAACTGCTCTGTTTAAGCAGCTGGAAGTGGGAATGGAATGTGAGTGCAGAGAAGTCCTTGGTGATACCAGGAAGGGGATAGATGAAAATAATGCACAATACTGTCCCAGAGATAAAGCAAGGCAGCAGTTACCCGTCTGTGCAGGTAGCAGCCATCCTGTTGCTGCGAAGGGGCCTTCGTGGGCTGCATTTCATAAGTGTGGGTATGCACAATACACAAAATGTATTGTGGAGTACATGGGGCAGTTGGGGTCTTGCACCTCAGTTATTTCCAGGTGGTATATGGTGGGGTACAAGTTAACCTCTTTTAAAGTAAGCATATTGCCTATGAGCTTGGTGTGAGCTGTCTCATGTTACTTTGGGTAACTCTTTGCAACTCACTGCCTGAATGTTACTCTCTAGCTGGGTATTGTAATTGGGAGTTTCTGTTGATGAAGTGCAGGGAGGCATTGAGTCTAACGCCCCTTAGCAGCAGTGCCATCTGCTTTGCCCAGCAATGCCAGCACAACTGATGGAGGGGAGAGGAAGTCATGAGAGGGGGCAGACAGGCTTTAAATATCCAAGGGAAGCACATCTGGAGAGAAAGGAGCCAGGCTGCAATCACTGCTTTGAGCAGAAGAATCACCCGGTAACTTCAAGAGCACATTGGAATCCAGTCAGTTTGGGGAGCTGCAAAGCTCCACATTTTAATTGCCCCAGCTTTCCTTGAAAGAAGCATTTTGCCTAACAAGCACCTTCCATATTTAGTGTTACAACAAAAGAAAAGGGAAAGATGTTGCTTTGAACCTCAGGACAGGAATGTTGTGTAAGAATTATTGTCACATTTATTTACTGCAAACTGTTCAAGGTACTCTAACAGTCACTGGAATAATGACAGCCAATGTTGTACAGTGCAAGACCTCGGGGCACTCCAGGTTAATTTTCTTTGCAAGTTTCCTTGTCCCGCACTGCCGGGAAGGGCTTCTTGAAGGCTGACAGGAGCAGCAGTGCTCGCGGGGCTTTGCCGGGCCCTGCAGCAGAGCTGCCGTTTTTGCAGTTGGAGGTGTAAGCGGAGAAATAGTTCATTCTGTAAAGCTCTGCACGGCTCTTGCAGCAGCCAAGCTTGCTCAGCAGCAGAAAAAAATCCCTTCGAAAAGCCTTGGTGAAAATTGCGTACAGGAATGGGTTTGCACAGGAGTTGACTGGGTAGAATAAAACCAGCAAAATCTTGGAGTTTGTCACTGTGATGAGAGGTACTTTAAAGGCAGCAGATATGGCAAAAAAGGAAATGGGGGCCATGCAGGTGAAATCTGTGAAGATCAGGATGGCCATTCTCTTGGCGACCTTGGTATCTTTATTGGCAGCTACCAGCTCTGGATTTTGAACGGCTATATAAATCTTGATGTAACATGCACAGATGACAATGAAGGCTACAACATTTAACACTAATATAGTCAATATGTAGGCTTGAGAAAGAGCCGTTTCGATGTCCATGGGCAAACAAATACTGACCTTCATGTAACTGCTGACCCCCAGCAGGGGCATCACTGCAATGAAGATGGAGAAGAGCCAGCCCCCGAGCATGATGGGCACGGCGTGCCGCAGCCGCAGCTTCCTGTCCAGCTGCATGGCGTAGGTGATGGTGTACCACCTCTCCAGGGTGATCACCGTGAGGGTGTACACGGACAGCTCACTCGCAAACACCGTGAAGAAGCCAGCTGTGTTGCAGCCACTGCCTGTCTGCCAGTCGATGGCGTAGTTGTAGTACTGGCCGCTTGTCTGCGCGTCCACGGCCGCAATGAGCAGCAGGTAAAGGCCCATGCAGAAATCTGCGAAGGAGAGGTTGCACATGAGGAAGCGAGGCACGGTGAGCTTGTAATGACTAGTGATCAGGACGAAGAGTACTGTGAAATTGCCAGCAATGGCCAGGATGTTTATAAACCAAATTAGGATTCTGAGAAAACTGTAGCCCAGGATGTCTTCGCAGGGATTAAATGCATCTGGCTCTGGAGTGCAGGTGAGTATCTTAGGTTGACAAAAGTCATACTCAAATTCTAAGCCAGCCATTTCGTCCTCGTTGAAAAG